GAAGAGGAGATAGGCAATTAAATCATAATTATATCGTACACGTGATTTATTGTTATTATCATTTATCAACATTTATCATTTCCCATATTTATTGGAATTCTTTTCTCATTTTTTATTTGCACAATATGTCCGATTTCTAAAATTAATATGTGTATCTTTTGTTAAATATTTCTAGCTTGACGCAAAAACTAGTTGGAAAATTAATCGAGTAATAATTAATCATTGCTTTTATGCGACGCCCTGGAAATTTTGTTCACCGACATTTAACTGCTTAATATATTTACCCGCTTAGTCCCCGCTTAGGTTTAAAAGTGTTGCAGAATTTCACGCTCTGATTCAAGGGTTCAAAATGAGATATTCCTTACGCTGCAGCTAAATTAATGAACGCTGCATAAATTTTCTTCAATGATTTTCTTTGATTCAATCTCTCCGTTTTAGTCTTCGAAATAATCCTTAATCTTCGAAATAAATATTCGCTCTTTCTATTCTATGAAATTGAATATTTTTTTTTATTTTCGTGAAAAAAATTTTCGATGGATTTAGATTTAGATTAGATCGCGTTAGGATCTATTACTAGGATAAATTAATTAATCAACCGATTATATCTATTATTATTATCAATGTTTTATTTCCAATGCTCGAAAATTTGTCTCCGCCAGATTATGTAATGGATATCAACCTCGTATGGGCGATGAGCCAGACTTAGATTTCACCAATAGGTCAAATCCATCTCGTCCAAATTTTGCTTCTGCTTTTGCTTTTGGTTATTTCACGTGAAATTAAACCGATAATCGTACTCTACGACAATAATTTTGTATAAAATCAATGATAATATTTTATCTCGTAAATTTCTAATCGATAAGAAATGATTCTTTGCACTTTTACATAACAGCTAGAAATATCCTTGTTTCCAACAGTACGTAATAAAATTATATTTGAAACAATAGGCATATGTAGAAGTTATTGAATGGTATTTGTTCAAAATGTATCAAATGCATTGGCAACCACCCAATGATTTAAATTCTAGCAAACTTTAATTATTTGTTTTACATTAGCCACTGTAAATTGGTGACGTTCATTTTGTCTATCCATTGTGCCTATTTTCGATTTTCAAAATATCACCAAAATGTCACAGTTCCATTTTACAATCATCTCTTCTATCTTGGCATTGCAATGTCCCCTGGCAATTTGATAAAATATCTCTCTATAATTATAATAATATAGGTTAAATCAATTTAAAAAAAACTTACAAGTGAAGTATTTGTCCAATGTTGACGAAAAACATTTCATCAATCTGTCAGAAGAAAGAAGAATTTTTCTCAAGAAAACAGTTCTCCCTCTTTTCTTTATCCAGATAAGAAAAGAATAAGAGAAAAAAAAAAAAGGAATAGAAGAAAATCGTGGCTCGTTCTTAACTTAACCTGCACGCTATTAAATTACAAATCTCTCAATTTCTCCCCTCTTTTTTTTTCGTTACAGTTTGCAACTTCGTGGTGCACGACCGCTGTCTCAAGGCCGTCGTCTCTCCCTGCTCCAGCATCGCGGCAAGCCTCATTAAGGTAAGAATACCCACGATTTCTGTTCCTCCTCTCTTTCGTGCGACCAGAGACGAAGTGTGAATTCTTCCCTCCGCGACCTATATTTACACGCCTCTGAGAATACTCAGAGGCTGCGTCCAAAGTTCGTCTCCGTTCGCAACGAGGATGAACTTCGTTTCGAACATCAGTTTCTGCATTAGCGACACGGCTATGATATTTTAGACAGACTTTATTTTTATAATAAAGCCCCAACTCCCTCTTCTTTTCTTCCGTGAAAAAAAAAAATAGTAGTTCGAACAAAAACAGTCGAGGTCGATCGTCGTTGGACTCGCGTTCTAAAATCAGTCAGTTATTTTTTTTCTTTTTTCCACTGTAGCTACTTTCAAAAACGAAGAAAAGTCGCGAAGAGGAGAATATTTTTGTTCGCGTAGTTTCTTTTTCATCGAATATAATGGCAAAGATGCGTTTCTGTGTGCGACCGAAAAAGAAAAAAAAGAAAAAGAATGAGAAATGAAAGAGGTTTTGTTTTGTTGCACAGAATCCAGTTGCACACTGCTGGTCCGAACAGGTACATCATAGAAGAAAATTCTGCAACGTCTGTCGTAAACGGCTCGATGATAATCTATCCATACATTGTGAAAGTAAGTGCCTTTTATATTCTTTATCGATAACACTGGTAATATTATAGCGGTGTATCTTCCATCGCGTCTTTATGACTCTATAAATTCAACTACTGAAGGAGTAAACGAAAAATTTGCATTTTCTTTCCTCTCGTATCGTATCGTACGTCGATTGCCACGATTTAGTACACGTAGATAATATGATTGATAAATTTTTATGATTTTCAGTATGCGAATACTTCGCGCACACGGAGTGCCAGGATTTTGCCGTGGCAGATTGCAAGGAGAACGCCACGTATTTACCTGGGAAGGACTTGGCGCAGGTAAACCACACTCATCACTGGCGAGAAGGCAATCTTCCCAGCAGTTCGAAATGCGCTGTCTGCAAGAAAAATTGTTTTTCTGCCGAGTGCCTTTCTGGGTTTCGTTGCGAGTGGTGCGGCATGACGGTAAATGTTTTCCCTCGTCCTCTCTAAACTTGCGTTCTTTTTATCATTTCGCACCTCCATCAATTTAAAAGTTTCTAGACGGATCTTATATTTCTACATAAATGAGGAATATATATATATATACATGTATATGTATATTTCTTTTACGCTTTAATTCTGTACTGAAGTTGAGATTAACGTAGTTATCCCTCCTTTCGAAAAAAGTTGAAAATTGTTTGGAAATCACTGAACGATGCTTAATTGTTTTAATTAAAAATAACATCGATTGTTCCGAAATCGGACAAACTTGTTCGGAGTGCTCTTGTTAAAATAATGAGCGCAGAGTTTCTATATGAAATATTCATTTGTATACTCAAGGATGGGCGTTATTTTTTGTGTATTAAAAAATGTATATTAGAGAGAAAAAGATCGATAAGTAGAAGAACGTTAAATAAATGTGCAAATTTTTATCATCGAAACGAAATGTTTTTTTTTTTTTTTTAATGATATTTTGTCGTAAAAATTGAAGAGCGATTATTTTATATACAAATTTCCGTATGTATCTTACCTCATGACTTTTCGATTACAGTTGCACTCTTACTGTTATAAAAATATCCCGCAAGAATGCACGTTTGGGAACTTGGAACCAATCTACTTACCACCACATGCAGTCAGCATTCCACGCACGGAAGTTCCCATGGAGGCCATCATCGGTGTACAAGTACGTCGAAAAGAAGCCCTGGCGCGTGAGTATTCCTGCCGTAAGTGTCTATATTGTACAAAATATACGTTTCAAATATCGATTAGAGGATGTGTAACACGTGACCGGATAATAGACGAAAGTAGTGGAATGAAATTATGTTCACGTATACGTGTATTGTAAATATGTCTATATATATATACATATATATATATATACATATTATATCTTGAATTATCGATATTGTGCCGATCTATTCGAAATTTTATTATTAGACAATCGATCGTATATGTGTATAACGTGAAAACAAAGAGAAAAGAAAAAAAAAAAAAAGAAACGAAGAGTCGTAAGGGAAAAAATTAGTTGCGAACTTTAGAATAGCGAGAGCAGGGTATCTTTTTGTATTTTTTTTGTTATAAAAAGTGAAAAATAATAAGAAAACAAAATTATTATGAAACGAAGATACTTGATTCGATTTTATTTATTTATTTTTTAAAATTTCAAAGATCATAAAAAATTCAAATCGTGAATATATTTCAATTTTAAACTGTTGTTACGTTCCACGGTATTGATGATATTAGTATATTACACTCAGATAACAAATAATGGCTCAATTAGAGTGTTACGAATTTCATGGTCGATCAATCTTCACAATACATCGAGCACACGTTTTATCGAGTTCCTATAAAATGTCATAGTGTCAATGCAACTTGATGCACCATTTAAAGAAAAGAACACTGTCATGCAAAGATCACATTGTACTCATTGTTGGTACACAATAACGATGATACTCATAGCAACGTTACATTTTAATCAGGATAACATATTACGTCCAGATAGAATAGATTACGTGTTTTTCGTGTTCAAAATAGAAATTTCTTTGCTCACACTACTGTACTGTATTCTATTTCCTATGTTTCTTTTAAACAATAATTTACACCTACACGTGTCTCATATATAAGATGTGTGTTATCTATTTATATATATATATATATATACATCTATTATATATATAATTTTAACTCGAAAAATATATTTATCCAAATTTTACAAAATTTATTTAAAATTGTATATGATATATAAATGTAATGAATGGTGTAATTAATGATATGTAAATTTATAATTGTATATGATAATGTTTATTATCTTATAATAAACAGAACGGGATAAAAACAAGAGGGGGAAGAATTGTAAAGTAAAGTAATATAAGATAATTTTCATTACTCGTATCGACTTTTGACTTTACTATAAAATAATATATTATATATTATATATCGTTGATTAGAAACAAATCTTTTGCATGATACTTAGTACTCACTCATTGATATACGCGTGTATAAAAATATTTACTACTACTTGTATACCACTCTCGAATTTTTATAATATATTATATACACATATACGTGTTTTCTTTCCTTCGAAGCATGCGATGTTCGATCTGTTGGATAGAACAACAACCCCCCATTCGTGTTTTTTAACACTCGAACTTGTTTCTGTCACGAGGTTATCTTGTGTTTCTTTCCTTCTTGTTTTCTTATTTTTTTTTTCCTTTTTTTTTTACTCGGAAATATTTTTTATAAGAAAATCCTGCTAGATTGTTATTTCTTATTGAAAATATTGTTTTTTTTTTTGTTTTTGTTTTTGTCTTCTTTTCTCTCTTCTAGCGTTATACGTGTCTTTTGTATAACTATTTACCACAGCTGTCTTCCAGTTTCTCGCACTCTCAGCCTCTCGCGATAAGTGATTCGCGAAATTTGAAATACCACGATTCGAAAGTTCGAGGAGGTTATTTAGAGCAAATATTTAGACGGGATTCGGTGTTTGTTGGTTGTTCCGTTTGTTACGCGCGAAAGAACGTGGAAACATCCGAGATTTCAAATTAGTCGAGCAAATTTTAAAAAAATACATTTAACAATAGATAATAAATATTCGAATTTACTAAAATTCGTAGAATATTTATTTTCTTTTTATATTTATTTATTTTTTTTTAAATCCATAAAAAATTTCTATCGAGAATTCTTCATGAAAGTGTTTTTATTCGAAAAAGATATATAGAAATTATTAATTTTAGGAATAGAAAATTTATTTTATGCATTGTTGTTGATTGCCATTAACTGGAAATTAACAAGTGTCAAAATATTTATGAGAAATATGCATACAGGTTTATAAATCGTTCATATTTTTACATACGGATTAGCGAAATCGATAGAAATAATTATAGATATTTTGACAATAATCCATATTATTTACAAAAATTTTAATGCAAATATTAAAATATTGAGAATTTCACTTATACGTTATATTACATGTATCACGTTTAATAATCGTGATATTTTTTTATACAAAAGAAAGTACAATTTTCGATATTGATCATATTCAAAATAATTTAATTAAAGTAACTAGATATATTATATTAGAAACATTATAGCTTATGTGGCTGTCGCTGTTATTAATCGCTATTCTCAATGTGCTTTCAATAGACGTAATGACATTTACGATTATTACATCGATTCACGTGGCTTTACAAATACAGTTACACCGATTGCTAATATCGTTGAACATTTAAGATATCAAAATAAAATTTTACACAAACGAGTACGAAAATGTTTTTTAAGATTTAACGAACGTGTAAATAAATAATATATACGATATAGTTTCATCAGTGAAATTAGAATTAATTAGATAAGAATTTATTGATTATGTATCGAACGCAGAGCTAAAAGTTTATTTTATCGATTGATTTAATTCTTTTTTTTTTTTATGCTTCTTTTAGAAAAATATCTGCAACGAGTATTGTGTGTATAAAATAGCAATAAAATAGTAAATAATGGCGATTAAAATACAATTTATGGTGGTCTGTAACACGCGCCACGCCGAGTGTTTGCGATTTAAATGTTGACATGCCAATTTCACGTTTGTCAATTATTTGATTAAAAGTCAAATCAAAAGGGGAATAACGAATTGATACATTTTTCTTTTAACGAAATACCGATTCATAAATATATATTTATAAGTATAAGAATGCATATTTCGAATGAAACATATAGTAATCAAATATTTTTATTATAATCAACAAATAATTATAATCTTCTATTGTTTTATCTAAAATAAATGAAAAATTTTTATATTTTTTCTTAAAAAAGTAAGAAAATTCCTTTCTAAAATTATTATAATTAAATTAATTTGATATATTCCAATGATGTTATTTACAATTTAATTCAATTGTGCAAAAGGATGTGTAAGTGTATTAACGATCACAAAGAAAGTATAAAATAAGAAAAAAACAAGCTAACTACAATATTTTTGAAAATATATCAATTTACATTACATTGATTTGTATCACGTTAATCGAGGAACGTTGAATATCAATTATGCACGATTAAATCGCAGTCACCGGCCATTATTCATGTGTTTTTGTATCCAAGAGGTCGAAAGAGAGAAAAAAAAAAAAGAAAAAAGAAAAGAAAAGAAAGAAAATAAGTAGTAGAG